CGCTAAACTCATAACGATTGGCTGTTCAAATTGCAAAGTCTAGGCTACTAATTTAAGCCTGCACTGTAATGCTGGACTGAATACTGTTAGATCTTAGGGTGCTCTGTTTGACAGGAAACAATTAGGTTGCCAGACAGTTTTCTCAGTAGCTCTCTATTTTCTGAAGTAAAATTCAGTTTAAAGGATTGAGTTTGTAAAAATAGCTGAAAATACCGAAAGCTACACTTCGTCCCACATCATGACTGCTTCTCTAAATGTAACAATATTGGATTTAAAAACAAAGAATATGTATTGAACTAAACTTTGACCCTACAAGTTAAGAGTTACCAGTATGTAATCTGTATCTGTAAACTCTTCCTGTCAGGATGCCTGTGTGGTTTGGGTTCTCAGCGCTCTGAACACTACTGCAGCATGACGTCTGACATCTATCACCTCCCGCTCAACGTATACGTCATTGTGCTGGGCATCGGCCTTTTTGTCTTTATGCTGAGCCTCATCTTCTGCTGCTACCTTTTCAGGTAGGTTTAGGAGGAATGTTGACAGAGTGACTGTGAAAATCTGATGAGAAAGTGAGAAAGGTAGCTGCATGAGAAATGTGGGGGAAACAGAAAGTACAAAAAGTAAAGTGGTGTCATTGGGTAGGCCTACAGCAAGAGTGCAACCTTAATGTGTGAGGATAGCAGCTATCATGATGCAAATGTATGGAGTGTTGCCCTGCAGAGCTGTCAAATATGCTAAATATGGTTTATAATTGTATGATTAGAAAACAAATACAAAAATGACTTCATTATTTATAGTTTGTTCACTACATTTATATCAGGCACCATGTCAAAAAATATAAATTAAAAAAAGAAACAGTGCTTTGTACCAGCTTAATTCAATCTGTCCCTGTGCTATGATAATGTTTACATCTTAAAACATGCAACAAAAGTAAGGCTATTAATTAAAAATCGCCAAGTAATAGAGATTGAGACTGATAAATCGGCCTGTTTTCCTTAAAAGGTTGTAAAACTCACAAAAAGCTACCTGCCAAGCACCAAAAAGCAGACAATAGTTAGCAACAAACTAGCTGACCTGCTAGCTACAGCCAAAACAACTACAAGACGAGTCAATGTTTGACTTACATTTATCAGGTCCGCGCAAACACAAATCCAAATAAATTCTAGTTTGGCCTTACTTCAGCAGGAAGTGCAAATAAGTAACTGTTTACAAAAATGTTCGCCTTTCATCAAGTGGTATAACATCAATGTTGTATTTTAAAACTGTTTGCGCTACCCCCATGTGGCAGATGTGAATACCACATAAAGGACTCAAAACTTGCACATGTTGTGCAGTTATTATAAATGGCACAATGATACAACCAATAAATCATTATCAGTTTTTAAATAGTATTATATAAAATTATATGATCAAAAATGTTATCGATTGAGTTAAGACAGTTTCTTAAAATGTGTAGGCACTAGGCTATAGTGCCGGTTCATCCAAAGTTATTAAATTATACTAAATTGCTTGTTGATATGACAATATACTGAGGTTTGATGTATTTTATTAGTTCCTTTAAGTCAGTTTGGCCTGAAACCCCCATATATAAAAGGACATCATCTTATGACCCCTAGTCACCGGTTGCATGTCTGTAGTAAAGTGAATCAGTGATTTTCATTGTTGATTACCTCAAAATGGGGTACAAATGAAGGGTAGATTTGGATGGAAAACTGGCTTGGCTACTGAGGGTTTAGTATTTGAGTGGTAAACAAAATAGATCACAATGGAGTTAGGGCCCCGGCCCCCAGATTGTGAACCACTGAATTAAGTTACAGCTATTACGCCAATCTTTTCTACCGTACAGATGTTGTTCTCTCTCTGCCACTCTCAGGTTGAAACAACAAGGAACAAGGGAGCAGTTCAGCTACAATGAGGTATGTCCCTGCAGTATATGTCACTATGGTTGAACATGTAACACCCGCTTCTGAGGCTGGTTATAAATACTACTATAGCATTTCACACCATTATTGTCAACTGTGAAACATAACACCACCCTTTATAGATGACCTTGTCTTCATCGAGTGTCCTTACCTGCCCTCTGATTCAAAGCTGTTCATCCAGCTGCAGTGTGAACAGGCCTGATGTGGTGATCTGGGAACAGGGTGTCACAATGTAGCGTGGTTACAGTTGATGAAAATATGTTCAGCCTCTTTGAAGGTTCAACTCCAACCATCTGTATTATGTATTCATTATGATCTTTTTTTTATATGAAAGATAAAAATATCACAAACAGGAGTACAAACCACTCCTGCTGACTCCCGTCACACAGGCAGATTATTGAAGCCATCTGAAGTGTTTGCTTTACACCATCGATTTTCTGCAAGAATAATAGTGCTGACACATCCTTCACATGACACAATACTTCAGTCCTTTTCATATTTTTAACCATAGGTGGTGCTGAAGGGAGCCAGCAAGAAACTGAGCCTTCTCGGAGTAAGTCATTCTTTCTGCAAACAAAAGCTCATACACATCACTTGTGCTTAATGTATATGTTATGACCTGGCAGCAGTACACATATGTTACCCACACTGTTTCCACTCCAGCTCAGATGACACATTATGAGCTGGGAGGGTTCGGTTAGTTAACTAAATCAATTTCTCCTCCCGGTGTGATTAACATGCAGCACACACTCAAGATGTCCTCAAAAGACCTTGTAACTCAAATGCCGCCATTTAAAAAAAATGTGAGAGGGCCTGCTCTGCTCTCTCCTTGTGGCAGAATTTAGGACTCCAGGAATAACTGCACTCATTCAATATGCATTATAAAAAGATCCCTACTCTGTCTCTTGTGAGTGCTCAAAAGATGGCTTTTGCAATTTCGTGTCTGCCTTTCCAGGGCAGTGGTGGTCAGCCGTCATTTTTTATTAACTGTCCAACCTCTGCCTATGTACAAGATCTTATGATCCCTTTTAATAGAGAACATAGTTAAGGTAAAAGCATTATTAAAAAACAGACGCTTTTACTTATGCTTTGCTCAAAATCTACATCAGATGAAATTGATTTACTACTGAAATGTACCTTACTTACAAATGGCAATGTTATTGGCTGTTGTGAGATACAGGCCCCCAGTTTAATACAGGTTAGGGGAAAACACAAATGTAATGAAATGTAGATTAATGAACTAACCTTGATGTTTTTTTCATCCTTGCAGCAAACCTGTGCAGTGTGTCTGGAAGAGTTCAGGACCAGAGATGAACTGGGAGTGTGCCCATGCTCACATGCATTTCACAAGAAGTGAGTTTAACTACAATTGAAAATAGAAAGCTTATTCGCTTTCTGGGCAATAGTAATATGAGAAGATGCTTTTGTTAAAATGGTCAACGGTTAGCTTAGCTTAGCTTTAGGACTGGACAGGGAGAAACAGTTAGCCCACCTGCAGCCGTCGCTCTTACCCAAGAGGTAATCATTCAGATATAGTCCAGCACAAAACTACAACTTGTTTGTTTACACCTTGGATTTATGTAGGCATGTAGGCCCAATGCTGCTTGTAAAAGAAAAACGAAATATGGAAACTAGCATAAAAAAAGATATAGCCTACTACTAATATCTAGTATTATATATTTGATATATATTTATATTTTTCTTTCGAAATTCAAGTTAATTTAGTAAGAATGTCAAAATTATATGGCCTATACAAGAAAGCTTTCTAAAGGTTTTTAAAAAGGTAATTTTTTGTAATATATATAGTTACGACTTCAATATTTGTATATACTTATTTATTACATTCGAGTTTCACATAATGACTTGCATAATCTTTCTTTCCATCATACTGGCTTAAATGGGCTTCCATATATGCTGAATAAACAAACAATATATGGCATTTAAATAGTGAGCTGTGGAGGAACTTGGATAGATTTCAAAGCAATTTTAGCAATCATACTATTGGCTGTAGCTTGCCCTGCACACTTGAGTGGTATTAGATATGTTCAACTATGACAAGAAAGAGAATAAGCGTATTTCTTAAAATGACATACTCTTTTATAATGCTGAATTGAACAAACACTTAAAAGTCAAATATCTATGCATAGTTTTCACCAAGATTTGTCAGGTTGAAGACAAATATTTAGTTACATTATTCAGTAAGTCCAACAGATATAAAAGTACATTTCCGCAAAAAAGTAAACAAGTTATGTTTATGGGATCAAATATGTTATTCAGGTTTAGTAAATGACATATAACATGCATTTAGTTTGTGAAAAGCTACTCATAATTAACATGATTTTTTTCATCACAATGGTAGAATTGGGCTTCCTTACAAAACTTAGATACTTATAAGTAAATACATCTTTGTTGATATATTAATTTCAGCAAATAAGGATTCTTAAGCGGTGATAGTGTTGTCCTAAACTAGATTAAATTGTTCCTTTTTTTAAGAAACTTTTTTTTGTCCTGTCAGGTGCCTGCTCAAGTGGCTGGAGATCCGCAGTGTCTGCCCCATGTGCAACAAACCCATCCTCCGGCTCCACACAGACGCTCCCCAGGGTTCAGAGGGTCCGCTGGATCCGGAGGAGGTGTGAAAGAGCTGTGTGAGAGGAAACCGAACTCCCCTTACAGGAAACACACACATTAAATACACTAGGGATGATGGACAGCGGTCATCTTAAAGACATCTCACAGGAAATGTTGATAATGATCCCAAAGTGGCCGCCCTGCTGCTGACCTTTGAGCAATACGCCTTGATGGGAATTGGATATTGACAGCGCCAAAATGACTTGGTCAGATCAGTCAGGGAGTGAGTGGATGAATAGGATCTTTTCATTAAAAAAAATTAGCTCCTAGTTCAACTTCCATATTGCACTGTTCACCAAAAAAACCAAACATGACAGGAGCCATATTAGAGAGCAGGATATCATTGCCACTGTCATTGGACGACTAGTGCAGCACTGCCAGAGACGAACACTTCAGGCATTGAGCGGGACTTCAGAGTACAGGATCAGTATGGATACCTCTTATATCTCAGGGGTGTTACCAATACAGCCAGCACAACCCATGTCAAGTCACCCTATAACCCTGTGCCACACATGCATCTTCAATACTGCCAATGTAGGTGAACCGCAGTCAGAGGTAGAGCCACGACCTCCGTCTCAAACTAAGACCAGCGGGATTACAACCATGGCAATTTAAAGTAGACAATATTGTTACAGAGTATGTCCCATGCCCTTTTCCTTTTAAAAAGAGACTGATAGAAAACTAGTCTTGCCTGTATGTATTGTATGTAAACATGTCCCTATATATTGTTATTTTGTATTTGTTGCTTTTAAATAAAACGTTGCGTAATGTATTTTATTGGTGTTGGATTTATTGAAGCGTTATTGTCATTTTATAGAAACATGCTCCCATAAAAGTTGTTAAAAAAAACGTTTGGTAACCATTCAAATATGCAGTAATTAATAGTCATCACATTCATTTCTCTCTTCATAGCATTACACACAACATTGCCTAAAATGAAATGTTAAACACAAGTTTGTTTTGACATTTATAGATGGTTACAACTCACTTTACAAAAGTTATGACCTTCAGTCTCCAGTACAATAAAAAAAACTAGGTTACAAGCTGAGGAGTTCATAATTTTTAGCAGGGAGCCACACACTTGTTTCCAAACATGTGTGAGGCTCAGATCGTTGCAGTCCACACCGAAACACAAACGTGTGTGTTATTTGTGTGTGTGTGTTTGGTCATTAGTTGGCAGTCTCTGAGCCTTTAGCTTCCACAAACTCCATGGCCTTCTCTTTGACAGCCTGGATGCTCTGCGGGGTGCCGAGCTTCTTCTCGTACTCCAAGTAGCGCTTGAAGAAGAACTTGATCTTTTGCACTGAAACGCTTAAGTGGATCACTCGATCAAAGAGCGCCCTGCAGGAGACAGGAAGTTGGAAAACATCATGAAGAATTCATTATGATTGGTCATAAAACTGTTCTTAAATCACTTAACCGGATGTCCGATTTTCTCGTGTAAACCATTAAAGGGATCATTTAAAAAACAATTAGTATGAGGTCCCTAAAGTAGATGTGCCCAGTTTGGAGTAACAGTCAGAAGTACTGGCATGGGGGATAAGCAATGTACTTCTGTGTTTCTATATTGAAAATGTACAGCTATTTCTATCAGGGAACAGAAGCTGTAATTCGTCCTCTTTTTGTAGCTACTAGACTCCATTGACAAAAACAGTATTTTTACCTTGCAGAAGATAGAAGTTAGTGGTGTTTCACTGCTTCGTTTGGTTTGTTAAATGTGTTATTGAAGACCAGGCAAATACACTTTCTGCCAGTATGTTTGTCTGATGTACCTGTCCAAAGTAGTACATTACTTTGCTTCCGTGCCAGTACTACGTCTCCAAAACTAGGGTTCTGCTGATGGCTATCTGCTGTAGGTAATTTACTGACCATGGAAGAGTAACTAACTCCACCTCAAAACATCCTAAGAAACCCTGTAGTTTACACGACAAAGCATCCTTTAGCCACTTCATTTCCCTCTTTATATAAAGAAAATGTCTAGAGATTGAAAATGTGTTAGAAGTGACAATGAGGAGTTAGAGATTAAAGTAGGGTCTTTCGCTCACCTGACTTCCTTCTGTGACCCATGTTTGACCATGAGGTCGATGAAGACGGACCACAGGTCGGTGCGTTTCGGGTAGCTTGTCAGGATTTTGTCAAACATGGTGCGACCTTTCTCCGAATCACCATAACGGTACTCGAGCTGAGCGAACTTGGTGATCACATCCACACCTGAGAGGAATAGGAATATGGAAAGGTTAAAACCTATGGATATAAACAGCACGGATGGTAAGGGGGGTTCATTTTTTGTATTATTAGAAAGACCGAATGCATTCTGACATGAGATCTGAAGGATGGGTGTACAACCGAAAAGAATAACTCAAAATGTTCTATTTCGTATATGGCTTCGCCCTCTAAGGCTATCGCTATTGGGTAATCCCCCTGCGCACCCGCGCAGCACTGAAACACTTGTAGTCCACGCCCACCCGCAAGGTGGGCCCCGCCCTCGGGCCTCCTTCCTATTTATACCGGAAGGAGGCCCGAGGGCAATCTGCTCCCTCTTTTCTTCAGCAAACCTTGGCAGTTACTGAAGCACAGAACCATTAAACATCATGAGCAACAACTGCGCACGCAGACGCGGCTCTCAGCCAGCAGGTCGCTTGCTCACATTGTGCCCGTCTCCCATCAGCCGACAGGAAGCGAAGAGCGGACGCTCTAGCTGCTACGGCAGACGAGGACGATTGGCCCGCCCAGGAGCACGTGGACGGCAGCATGTCCCTGGAGCCGAGTGCCGGGCAGGAGTCGGACGACTCCTACCCCGTCTCCCTCCATGGTTCACCGTGCGGTTCTCCCCTCCCTCCTCTCCCCCGGAGAGTATATTGCCCGCCAGGCCGACCGGGTGCACCAGTGTGCCTTTCAGGCGGCGGCGAATATCATCGCGCTGCTCTCCA